CAGTATTAAAAGAGTTCCATTGAAATGATGTCGGGTCCCAAAAATTTGACAGCTGCATGACTTTACTTTTTCTTCCATTTATCAAAAGGAAGTGCACATTTTTGAAGCTCACAAAAATACAGTTTCCAATCAATGTTTGTGTTAGAGATTAATAGGATCTTTTTCTAGCAGGAGTGTAGGAAAGAGAAATCTCTACCTGAGGCTTTGCTGAGGGTTAGACTGTCAGGTATCTCCTCCGTGGGCAGAGATTTTTCTGTCCTACTCTCTTATTAGGGAATGATCCTTTCCTACATTTTTTCCCCTCAAAAATAAAAAAGCAAGTATATATACACGTAACATTATAGCCATTAGTGTCGTCATTTGCATTTGAGGCCAGGATGACATTGTTAATGACGTCAATGAACCCAACTGACCCTGACATGTCAGACAATTGATGTCATTAACAATTACACAAACCCGAAATATCACTTCTTGTGCGTGCAGGCTGTCTGGCCAGGGTAAGATAGCGATATCTTACCCTCAGTGATAGAGATATCTTACCCTCAGTGGAAGTGCGGATATTTCTGTCCGGTGGAGTAGAAAACATATTCTTAAATACATGTATACCAACTGACGGATCTCATTCCTAATATAAAATCTTTGTCTAAAAATACATGCACTGAGAATTCAGGGTCGGTTACAAAACCAACTTTCTGTATGGTTCTCAATTCTCATACTCATAGAATATGAAAACATTGTTGAAATGGTAAAATGGCATAAAGCTACAATTGTAAAGTTTTCATGTGATTGTCTGATTTGTGATAACACTGCTTGCGTTATTTTGTATAAGGGTTTTAAATTTGTTATCACAATAGGTTTATGGTAATTAGTTAACATTCCGTATCTTACAACATATCCTTGGGTAATTATACTTAACGGTCAAAAGGTTTCCTTAATTAACCCTGCAAAAATGGTACCACCTGGCCCTTGAAGTTAATTTGGAAATGGCCCGTTTTAGAAATATAGACAATATATTTGGTATGTTATGATCTAATTTGTAAGTCACTTGAAAGTAAATTACCTACAGTTAAATGGATGGTTCTTGCCATGCAAACTAACTTTGTCAATAAGTATCGGCACTGGGTCATGAGACTCAGCCAGGTGAGTGTCACGGCCTTATGTTGTTGGTGTTTCCCATTGAATTGGGACTGTATAGTAGGTCTATGGTAGTTTCTATAGGGAACAAGCCGACAGTTTCGTTTATTTGCATTCTTGTCTTTTAACATGTATAGAAAACAAATTCTACAACTTTTGTATACACACCTGGACCAAGTCGAAATTAAGTTTCGTCAACTTCATGATAAAATTAATGGTTTCTCTTGACATGTTAGGTCAAGTTAACTTTTAATTATTACAAAACTTAATAAACTATCTGTCTAATTAGCAATTAAGTCTTGAAAGTTTAAATTTAATGTTAGGAGATGTGAACGTGATATATTATGAGATTGAAGAAGCAAAATATAGGATAGTCTACGTGTGAACAGGGTTTTTGTAATAATATTAAATGGAATATGGAATGTGGATCTGTGCTTACTCCAACTCGTGAGTTTTTCCTGATCTGATTCCTACATTCCATGGTGTACACTGAATGAGGTTCATGATATGATGTTAATAGTAACTATTGATTTCACAATTTTAGGAGGTAGATATTCAGTCATGACCAAACATTTTTCAAGACTTAAAAGCTGATTATTAATGTGCATTAATCATATTACTGGCCTATTGTGTTATAACAGTCATACAGCCATGTCATAAATATCAAATTCACATGTACAATTGTGACATCATAAAAAAAAACATGTCTTGATGATGTCACATGATTGTCTCGTTAGTGAAAAAGGTAACATTCAAGTCAAAATACCTTGTAAGTACATGGTACAACCTGAATAATTTCAGAATTTTTTCCTTTTTTTTTTAGCTTGCCTCTCAAAGAGAGCGAGGAATTATGTTGTTACCCCAGAATCAGCATTGCAAGTTTCAAAGTGTTGAGAAGTTTTTGGTGCAAGTGTTGAAAGGCATCAAAAAACTCCTTTATAAGTGTATAGGCCACTGAAAGCGGGTTGCTATAGGGGAAAACTATTAATTCCCTGAGTCAGAATAAGTTTCTTTTAACAGTCGGGACTGAGACCTCTGTTGTCAAATTTGGTGTTAAGTTTTTTTATTGCGAGTGTTGAAAGACATCAGTTAACTCCTTTTTAAGTTTCCTAGGCTACTGATATTTGGTTTTAGAGCTGCTATGGGGATTAACTATTACAGTGAGATTGAATAATGATTTTGTTAAAAAAGTCTGGGTTTTTTTTTCAAACATTTAGGACTTCTATTTTTTATGTCAAATCTTATGTCCTAGTGTTAAAAAACATTACCTAGTAGGTATTTCCTGTTCAAATATCAGAATATTAAAATATAGATACCCCTTATTGGCTTGTTTGAGGTTAAGTGATAAACAATGTGAGGTGAGGTCTTGTACTATTGGAAGTGATTCTTGTTTAGAAACATGAGTTACATAATGAATAGAATGTTACATGTGTAGATGTGATATGAAGTTGTTACAACTCATTAAATGATTTGATATGCCACTTGCCTAAACCATGTTAACTTTTCAAATGATTGAACTCATAGCCTATAATCCATGTTATACTGACTTATGTAAGATCTTCGATTTAAACTAGTCTTAATAATTGGTCATAAACGATAGAAGAATTATTTTCTCACAAAAACATCGTCAGCTTCCTTAAGAATTCATGCATTCATTTTAGAACATATTAACACAAAAGCTTGAAATATTTTTCACATCAATTTGTTACACTTATTCGTGTGTTTGATGTATTTTTATGAGCATTCTAATGAATGTGTTATATATTTCATAAGTCATTTATAAAACAAACAAAACCGTTATATCATAAAAGAAATGATTCTGAAGCTTGATACCTTTAGAATTAATGTATGGCTATAGCTAGTAACAGAGATATTCTGTCTGTGATAGTGATATATATTCATCGTTTATGAAGTAGGTCGTGTGAGGGTGAAACTTATCCAACTTTCGGTACAATATATCTAAGGTATACAAATTTTTACTTTAGGGTGCTGGATGATTTGTAGACCAGCAGGTACAATAAAAAATCCTTTACGGAGGTAATACTTGCTGAAGTAAGCTATAAATTTGTAAAAAAAAAAAAAAAATCAATCAACACTGATTCAGAGTTTTTATTACCATAAACTCAAAGAACCTTAATTTATAGCTGAGAATAAAAGAGTCTGGCGTCTTAATTGCTGTTTATATTAGGAATTTATCGACTGGTCTGTCAAGAGTTTTTGTGACAATCCCAGTGAGAAGGGATTGTTGTGGTGCGGTCGTGAATTAACTTGACAGTTACAATTAAAACTCGCCCCAATCAATATATGATCCTGGCTTGTGTCAATTTACTGGGATTGAATAAATACAATTGTGGTATGGCTGGTAATGATCTTTGAATTTTTTTTAGCAAAGCTCATACTTTATGTATTCTAATTAATAAGATAAAAAGAGTAATTGATATTTTATGGATTTTGTTAGGAAAGCAAACTTTGAGCAATATAGATAATACCTTGAATGTTAAAGTGTTTCCTCCTTGTTACATAGTGAATGGTGAAGTGTTTTCCCATTGTAGTACAGTGAACGGATTGAGTGGGTTTTCCATTAATTATAGTTACTCTAATGCAGCCATTAATTAGACACAAGTGAGTGATCTACCTGTAATATTTACCTGGATCTGTCAATACCTGTAGTTTACATGACAGAAACTGAATTGAAAACAAAAATAACTAATAAAAGACTTGTGTTAAAGCACAGTCAGCTTAAGAGCAAAAAAATTAATGTTTTTCAAAAAAATTTGAATTGGCTGTGTATTGATGGAGATTCAGAATTAGTTTTTATAAAGCTTTGGTATTAGGATTTACTTAAAACTGATGTGACTTTCTGAAGTATTGAATGAATCACTGTTAATGATTGGTCAGCTTGCTCCGAATCCGAGTACATGATGATACACATAATATAGTGATTTCATTTTATTGACCCTAATATTGATGGAGTCTGTCATTGCATGTGTGTGTGACTGAGTTGGGTTGATTGCTCTGTGATAATTAAATGCGTGTCACAGACTAGTACCAAAATAAATAGGTAGGGCTTGATGGACGTTAGGTGGAATGATGTCAGTAACTTACTTAGGGGTATGTTAAGGTAGCGAAATATTAGTCACTTGTTGTGAATGGTAATGTGGATGGAGTTTGTAATCATGTATCGCACTGTGATGCACATCCTGTGTACAATCATTTTGCCAAGGCGTTACTTTCAGTAAACACTCAGTAGTAAACAAATTCACATCCTGAAATGAAGTGAAACACCAGCAATTTTTAACTGTATTAGAGTTGAAATCTTTTAAATGACATTTTTGTAATTATTTCATTACTGTAACTGGAATATTCCAGCCAGGTTGTGCTGTCTCGTTATTTAGCTCGATAAATGAAACAGCTGTTCCCTGTCCTTGTACAGGAACATGAAACAACATTTACACAGGTATACCTTGTTTCATTCTGTCGGACGATTTCCAAAGCATTATACAGATTAAACAACTGTAACAAGTTTCACTCACCGTGGAAACCACTGCGAATCAATTATATTAAAATATCACTGATGAATTAGTTTGAGGTTATACAAACACCAAAAGCAATATTAACAACAATCTTTATAAACAAACTTTGTACCAGCTGCCACAGGATTCAGCTCCTTGGCCATCTGATTTGATGTTCTAGACCAACTTCGGTAGTTTAAGTTTGGGATGAAAGTTGCTTTCCGTTTCTGTTACTTTACTGGTATCCATTGCACATATCAACAATATTATGACAAGAATAACAGACCAAATATTTTGAAGATGAAAGAATTGTATTTGTATATTTTTCAGGGCTGTAAATGCCTAGCGGTTATGATGGCACGGAAAGGGAGTGCAGATAGATCAATCCCTCGACACACTCGCGTTGATGACGAGTCATGGATTTGGCAAAGCTACGACCCGGGTATACAGATTGGAGAGGGAACCTTTGGCAAAGTATTTAAAGTGCAACACAAGGCTACTGGTGAATATTGGGCCATGAAAGTGGTCAACAGAGAAAAGGTATGCTTACTATGGGTGATGTCATGAAAATGCAACATTCTTGTTACAGTATATTAAACACAATGGTAGATTTACATGGTTTGAGTGATGATAACCATTAACGTTTTTTTCCATATCTAAGTTCCATAATAATTTCATATATTTTGATATATAGAACTAATATTAGAACAGCCATATAAAAAAAGGATTGACACCGATATTGAACAGGTTACTTATTGTCCATTGAAAAAAATTGATAAGTTGGAAGGGAAAAGGATGTTTTTAGAAAGAATTATAATAAAATCGCTAAAACAACACCACATTCCTGACAAGTCTTTGGCTTCAGGTTAGCCAATTTATAAGGAATGTGAAGACAGATACCAAAAGCTGAAGGAATAATAAAGTTTTAAGATTTAAAATAGATTCGAGTTCAGATAGGTTATACTGTAACATTAAGTCAGTTTAAACCTATGTATGTTTTATTCTCTGATACATATTTTATACTATATAACTTTTCGGTCCTTTACTTTTTGTTGGACTCCATTTTAAAGTACCTGTCAAGACTCTAGTAGCTTTACTGTAAAGTGTCATCTATATGACAATAGCTGGAATCAGTTTGTGTTAAGGTCATGTGTTCCAATATAGACAAAACTCAACCAATTCAGTGATGCATGCAGAGACTTTCTTTCTTAAGAGAATGGAATTTGATCTAAGAATTTTTTGAAAATACCCCTGATAAGATGATGTTTCGGTACTAAGAGGTCAAACTCAATATTTCTTTATATAGAACGCCAAACAATTCTAATGTGCACAGAGTGATCTTTCAATACTTTTTTGTTTTGTTTTTTATGAACCCATCAAAATTTGATTTACACATACATTTTAAAGTTAATATTTCTATGAAATGATTATATTTTTCAATCAGAAACAGTTTTATGACAATTACTGAATCGTTTCTACTTTTCATTACAGGCGGGTCACTCAGCTGTTACGTTGTTGGAAAGAGAAGTGAACATTTTGAAGAAAGTCTCGCATGAAAATATCATCAGTCTTAATGAAGTGTTTGAAACAGGAAAAGTAAGAAACATTCAAACACCAGGCAATATATTGTCTTTTATTATAGTGTTACTCTGGATCAACTTTCATTGGTTTAGACTGTAGACAGACTACAGTTATCAGAAAGTATTGCGTTTCTCATTTTGTTTCGTTTACATTTGTCAGATAATACGCTGTCATCCAGAGAGCTAGCTACTTGTGCTATTTCTTTGTCGCTAGCTTTGTTTAGGATGGTAGCTTTTAAAAACCAAGGGTTTACCTTTCCTCAGTGTGTATTCAATATGCGAATCTATAGCTATTGATTTGATTTAAACATTTTATTGACTAAATGAAAGAATGAGAAATATCTAACAATCTAGAGACATTTCTAGGTAATTCTAACTGATCTTCTTTTAATATTAAATTGAATTTCACTTGTTTGTTAAACACATTTATCACATAAATAGCTTATATCTGTATCTGGTAGTGACTCTCTCTCTCTCTCTCCCCCTCTCTTTCTCTCTCTCTCTCTCTATATATATATGTATTGCAGATCCAGCCATATCTTTAGAATTTATATTTTTGTTTTCTTATAAAAAGTTTTGATTGTCATTGATGATAAAATATGCAATATATCATTTATTAGTAGCAATATTGCGAAAAAAAAAACAAAAAAAAAATAAAACAGAAAATAAAAGTAGGAGTTTGTCTTTACAACTTTAAAGGTTTTTTGTATAACATCAGTAGAATGGAAAAAATATATATATGCAACAACTGCACTGGGTGTCTATGGTTATAGGAAAGTTAGATACTTATTGTACTGATCGAAGTTTTTTCTCAGCTGTCAGAAAATCACCATTTCAAATTGATCTGATTACCTTAATTGTGACAATGCAACTGGACTAGATCAATGACTTACCAGTACACACCATCTACATTCAAGGTGAAGCTGGAAGCACAGCAGCTACATACATGATACATTCAATTGTGTGCCAATAAATAATTCAGAAATTGATTCTGTGTTAGTTACCACACGGATGTAGGACCAAAACCCATTTACAGAGGGTGTCTGGAGAGTCTCAAGCTAGCTCCGGTATTGTTATATAATTAAACAATGGCTTGAATTAAAAATATCCAGCTGTTTTCATCCTGACTGCCAAGCAACAAGGCCAGAATTGCTTGTTGAAATTCCCATTGGGATCTGTGTTGGAATTATTCTTTGTGTTCACAGACATTCTTAGAAGTTCTTAAGCTAAGTCAGTAAGTTAAATGCAAGCAATCAAAAGAGTCTGATTTGATGTCAGTTGTATAATCAGCATATTTGAGTATTGTTATATCATTGTTATACAGGATTTCAAATTCGCTGTTATAAGCACATTAATATAAGTAATGCTTTTATTGCCTTTTTAAGTATAGGAATAGACATATTCATCTTCTTCTTTCCTAGTTTCATTCTAATCAAATATTGCTGTTTTAATTATTTTGGTTAATGAGACACTTCAGATGTTATGATCCAGATGAAGCAAAGATCTTTCAGCCTGATTAGTCAGAAATGTATTACATAGAATATAGACCTGTTTATATCAGTAACTTAAACATTAAGCTTTCATGTTTACTTACATTGTTCCCAGAAACTTGATAAAAAGGGATCTAGGTTAACATTTTGAAACAACTTCACAGTCTCAAAATTATCACAAATCAGTGTTAAGTGGTTTGACACTCTTTATGCATGATAGATTTTATTTCCTAGGATGCTGAGAAACAGATCAGTCTATGCTAATGTGGTTATGTCCTTGGGATATCCACTTTACCATCATTTCTCTGGAGGACGTGCCTCCTGTATGTTGTTCAGTGAGGTAGCTATTAGTTACTACAAGGAAACCCTGCCTGAAAATGACAGCGGCTGTTCATGGGATGATAAACCCATCATAAAACAAACAAATAAACAAATATGTTTTTGTATTGTTTATCTCAAAATGATGGAATGAAATTAGAAATGAAATGAGGAATACTTTTTCTGGTGTTTCTGTTTCGAACAGTATAGTAGATTGGATGGTACTGTCATATCTCTTCATTTCTGTGTGTTTTTATTTCAGTTCAATACTCTGGGCAGATTTCATTAACCAGCAAAATGCTTATGAACTGAAGCCAGATTATAGAATTTGAAACTAAATTTTATTTATTTTTTGTGTTTGTAGAAGATGTATCTAGTGATGGAATTATGTGAGGGCGGAGAATTGGCTGATGCCCTCAAAGTGAAGAAATGTTATAATGAGGCTGACACCAAAGTTATAGTGAAAAAGCTGGCTAGTGCAATCTCATATCTACATAAGATTGGTGAGAAACGATATCGTCTATTTTTTTTCGTTATGATTTTTCCCTACTCCCTTCTGTAAGAAAACCATTGGAGGAGTGATAAGAACCTCTCGAAATTCAAAATTCAGATTAAAAATTTTACCCTTTGGCTGAAATTCTTTTCCGAAATTAATATATCTTTTAGATAAATTTAAAATGAAAGTGTTGAAAAAATTGATCTAAAATATACTTTTAAAACACATTTAAAATTAAAAAAATTTATTGTTTTTACAGATATAGTACATAGAGATTTGAAACTCGAGAATATATTACTGAGTCAGAACCCAGATGATCCAGATGACAAACTACATATAAAGGTTAGTTGGAAGTTGATGTATAAAATTTCAATACATATATTTCATTAAGTAAAATCTGTTTAGATTTTCATTTCAATCGCTTCTTTAGGGAATTGCTGCATCTGTCATGGACATCAAATTGTACGCATTCTCATGAATTTAAGATTAATCCTGATAAAATGTTTTTATAGCTCCAAGTCTTGTTTGGTGGCTCAAAAATTGAGGAGAGATGATTGTGTACTTCAATTTTAAGTCATAACAGACTCTCATATCACAGGGGAGGTAACTCTGTTAGGTTTATGGCATGTCACTGTATATCGGTTGTTAACCTGTACTTTGTACACAATGAACCTTATTTTCTCATTTGTGAATATTGGTTTATGGCATGCCACTGTATATTTGCTAATTTATAGAATTTTTTGATAATACTACCTATTTGTATATTTGCACAGGTAACCGATTTTGGACTGTCAGTAGAGAAGGGAGGGGTTGGACAGGACAACATGATGCAGGATTTCTGTGGAACACCAATATATATGTGTAAGTACGATAGTTTAGACATAGACCACCAGTCAGTAATATACTGAGGGTTGTACACATGCACTTCAATGATTCATACTTCTGGGTTTCTTAATTAATGAAAGTTCACACTTATCATAAATATCAGTCTTGTCTTACTGCATACATGAAAATAAAACAAAATGATAAGAAGACCTGTCTGATCTATAAACTCTTTGTTTTTGATATGGAATCTGTTATCAAGTTTATAGAAATGTTTTATTAAAGATTTCTTCACTTTTCTTAGTTATATAGAAATAAAAAATCAGTCTTGATCACGTTTAGTTTTGTAACCAGATTTCAGTGCAGATAGTCACCATACAATATGTATCAAATTTTATGAGTGCATTTGTTTTTTGATATTTTTGTTTTTCTTCACAGCTCCAGAAATAATAGATAATAAAACCTACAGTCAGCAGTGTGATATATGGGCCATGGGCGTCATAGTGTATATTTTGTAAGTATGGGACCTATATATCCAAACACTTGATAATGGTAGAAATTCTGAGCTGGAGTATGCAACAAATAGTACTAGAAATCTTTGTATAATATGATATAATATTAACTTTATTTATTTTACAAGAATTTTGAAACAAGCTATCAGTTTATATTAATCACTCTTATTGGCCTGGATGGAAGCATCGGGAGGAGGGGGGTGTTTATTTTGGCAGACAGGTGACCTCCATACCTCTTTACGCCCCGAGGTGAAAGACGAGTGTGTTACCACTGTGCCACCCAACCACCCTAGGAAGCCTTAGTGTTGTCCAAACTCTCTATGGCTATAACTATTATCAGTATCAATTGTTACATGTATATAAATGTAAGTCTAAACAAACAGTCTAAACTTTCTTGTTGTAATTGTAATGGTAAAGACAGGAAAATCCCTGATTCTCTCTGCCGTTGTTTTTTTTTATTATTCTGGTAGCTAAAATTACATGGAGGTAAAATTGTGTTACTCTATTAACTTATAAATTGTTTCCTGTGTTTTGTAGATTGTGTGGCACCCCACCATTCCGTTCAAAAGATGAGGACACGCTGTACGATATGATAAAGCGAGGGGAGATTGATTTCTCAGGAGAAGTATGGAAGGGCATTAGTGAAGAAGGTAAACAAAGCTGAGAAAGTACAATGTTATTACTTATATAGATTAATAAATGCTATAACATACCCTGAAAAGTGTTTAATTCTGAAATAAATTTTTTTAATAGAAAGAACCTGTTGTCCTGTAGCAAAAAAAAATAAAAATAAAAAAAGATTTTCAAAATTCTATTAGGAATGGGTGTCAAAAAAATAATTAACATTATTTAAGTTATACCTTATTGCACACTTTGGGAGGAAATAAAAACTGCAATACAATCTCACACTAAAATTTATGTGTTACTTGTAACATAAATGTTAAATCTTATCAATAACACATTTATGTGGTGAATTTTCAGCACAGGCCTTGAGACATCGTACATGTGTATGCTTAGCTAGTGGCAAATTTGTTTTGAAAAAATGTCTCATGCTTATCATAGTATGATCATACATAATTTTATTTTGCCTACATTTTATGTTTTTTTTTACATATTTTGAATAATAAACATGAAAAATATGTGCTGAAATTTATTTTTTCATTGTAATTATAGCCCAGGACTGTATAAAAGGGATGCTGAAAGTAGACCCAGCTCACAGGAAAACAGCTAGAGAGGTGTTGAACCATCCCTGGATAACTGTAAGTATACTCTCACACCAGTAGAATTATTTCTGTGTTAAGTATTCAAACAGATTCTCTTATTATCTTCTCCCTATTTCTATAAAATGGAATGTGTTAAGTATTTATCTCCCTTGACTTGTAATGATGGCTGCAGTATAGCTTGATTGTAATATTGCGTTTATCACTTCAGTTATCACAGGTGACACATTTCCATGATCCCTTTCATACTTTTAATTTGATATCCCTCCTATGAGACACATGTCATTGATAGTGATAGGGTGGTAACATCTTGTGTGAAAGTTCTGTAAAGGACAGACATGAATGATATGTAGTCAAATTAGAAAATAGCATTTTTTTAAAAAAAAAATATATATATATATATATATATTATTTATGTCACATTTCTGAGTAGAAGGTTTTGGCAGAGTGTGTAAAACAATTCAGAAATAGTGATACACAAGGATGTTTTTTCATCAAATTTTGACATGATATGACGATGTAACAAGGATTTATTTTATATGTATAGTACTTTTCAGCAAATGTTACGCCAATGAAAAGTGCTGCATTGATGAATTACAAAATATTGTGGTATCATTCCTATTAAATCTGGCCTCTTTTTTAAAACATGACATTGCTTGAATTTATTTAAATTTCAAATCTCTCTGTTCATGTTTTTGTCCTCATTTATTTTTGAGTTTTATTCACGTTTTTTCACATGTTGGTATTCTCTTGTTTTGATATCACCCAAAATCTGATCAAATTGTCAATTATTTTATCTCCATGGAAACGTTTACCACTACCAGTTTACACAGTAATGAGAAATGAAAATTAATGCCATTGAAAACATTTTAGCAATAGACTCAATATTTCAAAAATCTATGGCAGGTTTAGTTGTAGTGTTTAACATGTTAAAATATTAAATTTTTGATCCACAGGGCAAAGTTAGTGAAGGCAATCATCATAATGTCCTGGAGATGATGAAAATGTGGAAGGATGAGCTGAAGGTGGAGGAGGGACAAAACAGTGCAATAAGTAATGGTGATGAAACCTCCAATACTACAGACGATGTTGACGGTGAGACCTGCAGTCCTGTCATACAGGAGCAATCACCACAGAGCAGTTCAAATAAGGCCAACGGCAAGGTGAGAAACTGGCAAGTCTTGGTGGCCAATGCACTAGTGCCTAGTAATATGGACACTTTCTGGGACAAAACTACAGATTCAAGTTTTGTCATCTGAGAGTAGGTAGAAATTGAAATGTTTTAAAGCTGGCTAGAAATTGCAAAATTTATAAAATGAGAAAAAGACAATTCACAGAATGCTTTTGAATATAATTCATATTTTAACACAAATGATAAGGAGGAGTTTGATTCTTACCTTGTGTGGGATTGGTTCTTTATTATATATCTCATTCTTAGTGTAGATACATCATCTTGTAATTCTGGTTCAAATTGGTAGGGCTGGATTCCGTCTTCAGAAATATCATCCACACCATAATCAGACTCCTCAAAACTCATGTTCAAATCGCTATCAGTTGCGGTGTCATTGTCACTGTCAGTCATGTTTGCTGCTGTTTCTGTTGACCTTATGACGTCATGAGTAGAAGTGCCTCGATTCCGCAGAAATGACGATTATGCTGATTAGGTCTGAGCGGACAGTTGAAAATCGACAACTTTGAGCTTTAATAACTCGACACTGGGGAGACGGATTTTGACAGGGTTTTCGTAATTATTATTTTTATGGCATTCTTAACATTATATTTAAATATGAAATTACACCAAGGGTACATTTTAACATGTGAATGAATTTGACTCTGCAGACACAAGATGGCACAACAAGAAAGGGATCTGGTGGAACTAAAAAGTCTGGAGCAGGGAGTAAACCTGTAAGTTTTTTTTGTCCTGTATGTTACGTGGCAATACATATGTTATGTCTCTCCCTCATCAGTAATCAGTTTCTGACCTTAATGCTAATTAAGAAATCTTAATTTCCAATCAAATTCATGAGTCAAAAGATGTTTTGGTTTTACATAAGGTGTGTTCTCCCATTTCATTTATTAAAAGAAATGTTAATGCTTTACAAATCCAAATGATAAAGGAAAGCTTTTGAATATTGTCTTTACATTCATACAATTAATTCACTCCTACTCAAACAAACTCCACCCCAATACCCCACCCCTCTGTTTTTTTTGTTTTTTTTTTTGTTTTTATTTTTTTGTTGTTTTTGGAAGATTTTTTCTTCCTGTTTTAGGAAGTGAGTGAGTGGGGTGGTACAATGTCACTATCTTAGTTTAAAAATCACTGTGTATGCAAAATAAAAAGAACAAGAATGTGATAATAATAATAACATATTGATTATGATAGCACTGCCTTGTCATCTCCTATGTACATAACTGTTTCCACAGGTGTCCAACTCAAGCCGTCCGAACAGTCAATCCCTAAATCCACCCAAACCTGGACCAGGATCACGGAACTCTGTGGGGTCAGGTGCAAAATCCCCCTCCCTTCAAAAATCTCCAAATACACCTACTAACAAAGGTGTCACAACTACCGGCAGGGTAGGGGCTGGGCAAGCAGCTCCCCGGGGACGAGGGACAAAGAAGTAGTCGGACACATCTAGCTCATTAGGCATTGCTATTCATTTTGTTCATGATTAATCATTTAGCCACAACAAGATCGTTTTTTTACGGCTTACTCAAAGTTAGTCGGATGCTCATTTTACATGTAGCATGGATTTGAAGATTGTATGAATGAAACTGACAAATGTGTATTGATTTTGTCAATAGACAACATCACTGTGAAGTGTAAACTAATTGGCTGGCTGATTTTACAACTCCTTGTACTACAACTACTTCGTTGCATAAACTCAAGTTTGTTTTTCCTAGCTTCAAATTTCAATTCAAACTCGTTTTGTTTGTCAATTTTCATGGAGATATTTTATACTTGGTACCACAGTACTTATTACTGACTACTTTGAAAGTGCAGTTCTGCATCATCATTTCAAACTTGGAAAACACAAGAATTTTGTTTATGTTTTTGAATGTAATCATATCAGTGTATTCATTCAAAGTTTCATTTCCCTTATATGAATGGAATATTATGGACGATCTTACGGAGAAAAAAAAAAAGAGTTTAAATTTCTGTCTTATACCAATATAGTTTCACATTGGGAATGCTTCACCTGATACTGTTTTATGATTTTCCAGCTGATTTCGTGCCAAAATTATTGTTTCTGTCTTTTTGAGTTCAAGGTCTTAGCCATTCAACAGAATTACAATTAACGAACCTATTGTTTATAGTTTTATCTGGTATTGTTTTCTTTTTTAGTAACTGTGCCTTTTGACATGTTCTTTTACATACAATATATGAATTGACAAGTTACTGCTCAAAACTGTACAATACATTTAATATCACCACTGATTTTCTGGGAGAAAGGAACCTAAGAAATGTTGTAACTTTACGCATAGTAAAGTAGTGATGCTGAAATGTACGTGATATGTGGACAAGGAATAGAGGAATTCACTCTCTCCTAACTTTGATCATAATGGATAGTGATGTTTGAAATAATTATTGGATAAAAGCCAATACTTGTATTTCTTCAACTTGGTTGATAGCATTATGTTTTGAGGTATTGTTGGATATTTATCGGTTTTGCACATGTGTTTTAAAGTTAAAAATTTAAGGTGTCCAATATTGTAATTTTATTGAGAAAAAAATGTTATTTCAATATTGAAATGAAAATTTGTTGAGGTTTTTCCTTTTCTTTTTTTTTTTTAAACTTAAAAGTTTTTGTGAACTAATCTGTTGATAACGCTGACTAAACATATGACTAACTATTATAATTTCTCAATACACAATGAACAACAGACTGCATTTGTAATTTATACATACAATTGTGAAAAAAGCTATAACTTTAACTTATGAGTTGTCTTAGATTGTACAGTTTCAGCCAGTAAAATATATTTGGATGGATAGGCTGTCTGAGTTGTACTGGTTTATGAAATCCTCTGTGTTGGAATCACTGTCTCGTGTTTGATGCATATAATTGTATGAACTGTGATGGCATACTCTATAACAAGCCTGAATACTATTGTTCATTCAAGTGCTCCGTGATTGTTATAAGCTATGCAATCTGTTTCATTATATCAGTATTTTGTGTGGTTTGTTCTTTAGTTAGAGAAACAAAAAATTATTATAAGAATGACTGGTATTCTATAAGCTACCTGAAATTTGCCAATTTTCGGCATCAGTACAAATTTTGATGAGAGTGAAAAACATATAAGTTATACTGCTACCCTTTTTTTTTTTTTCTTTTCTTAATCGGTGTGAAAGGTGATTTTGTCCACTTTTTTAAAATAGTGAAGTTCTACTGTGGTTGTGGAAATTACTTTTTAAAGATATATGCAACATTAAACATTTTTTGTACTGTTTAATTGTCTACCTAGCAACCTGTGTTACCATTTATACTTAAATCATTTTTTGCATTCCCTTGTCTTCATTTCACAAAAAAAAATATTGTTGTATGATTTTAAAAGATCCTTTTTATTTTTTTATTCTTAATTTGAAACTTTTAATTATTATATGGAGATACATTTCAGATTGATATGCACTTAATACTATGAAATGAGTAACTGAATCTTTGAAAACATATCGGCGATTAAGTCATGTTTTATGAAATTCCGTCCCTTTGACTGGAGTATGGAGTGATGTATATCGTGGTTTATGAAAAAAGCATGTTATCCGTCCTTAAAATTTCTGATCATTTTTATGAACAGATCTGCAAGATCTCAGGTTTGTTTTGGTTTAAGAAGTGCTAACCATGTTTTCATTTAGACTATGTATACAGGTAATGTCTGTAGTCTTCCTTACTCAAAAGGAGGCATAAAAACAAAAACAAAAACAAAAAAACAAGCAGAAAACAGAAACCCATCCTAATATAAAATGAAGAAGGGCAAAAATTAATAAAATACAAAAACTTTGAAAGAACATAAAATATAATTTTAAAAAAGTGAACTATGAAATGATTTTTAAGATTGTTTTGTCGGATTATTAATTAATATACTTCAGGTATCGGTATCGATATATAATTTCTATCATATTTTGAAACTCAGTTCATAGTAATTTTGTTTATTGTGCCAACACCATTAACTGAAAACTGATACAAAACCTCATTCAGGGTGAATCCATCTGTTGCATTTGTTAAAGTTTCATTAAACATCAAAATCAAGATCACTTACGTCACATAGATATTCTTGCCAAATGAAATAATCTGACAAAGAATTTGTTAATTTCAGAGAACTTTGAGTTCTCGAGTCAGGTAAAAACATAACACTACATTTGATGTTTATGTTGTTCATGGTATGTTAAGAAACAAATTGTGTCTTCTAGATATAGTGATATTTTTACATGTAAAAACAAGTGGTTGATAAAATGTTTCCCACCTGAAATTATTTTTTATTTTTTTCTATTTTATTGTTATAGTTCTAGGACTGAATGATTATAGTATATGAATTGAAATTTGAGAGAAATCTAAGTGAAGTTGATGGCTAGTTCATTGATCAGATATGCACAGTGTTTAGAAAGAGTTCAAACATTCCGGTCTCACTGCTGATTTACTATCTCATTTACTGCTGAGTCTTATATCATTATTGATATTGATGTTTTGAAATATTTTCACAAAAAGAAATGTATTTAATTGTTGACAAATCAAATATGGTGAAGTTGTTTGAAAGAGAGATTATTCTAACTGTGAAGGAGATGTTTTTTGTTAGCATTTTTTTCATGGTATGTGATTTGAGATTTTTAGTGTTTTATTTTTAGGTGAGTCCAGCTTCCATATGATATAAGTTATTTCAACTATGGAATAAGCTTATGTATTTCATAATAGAGTGACTAAAACTTCTATATATGAAAAAAGAAATACACCACCTTAAATTTCTGTAATCACTAAAACTTTACCTTTGCGGTATTATATTCAGGTGAAAGTTACTTTTACTGGGGAAAAAAAAATTCACCAACTTGATGAGTTTAAAAGTGTTGTTAATCTAATATATATTTAGCTTATTGTGAAATTCATTATGTTATCTTTTTCATGTTTTCACTTTCATCAAGACCATTTTTTTTTTCAATTAGTGTAAAATTATTTTGTATTAATGTGCAATTATCATAAATATTTGAGGTAATTATTTTTACAAAACATTTTCTGCTTTTTTTTGTTTGTTTTCACAATCTCATTCAATTCAAAAGAAGGCTTTATCCTTATTTGTATCTTTTCTTTTATTCTCATTATAATTTAAAAAACAACAGGTGTCATAAGAATATTCTTGGTTTATAATTCAGCTTTTAATTTGACACGGAAAGCGATACTTGTACATCAGATTCAGTAATATTTTAGTATATATCCCCAGCATGTTTAATTTATGAAGTCACTAAGGCAGCAAAAATAGTAAGTAACAGGTGAAACACCTTGTTCCTTCTTATCTTAACGTTGCTAAATTTAGTTCTAAGGAAACTAAAATTTGTTTAGAAAATGTAGAGATAACTTTGCATACGTCAGTTTGACAGTGCTAGACATTCCAGAGCAAAACCAATATTTAAAAGACGTTAAATTGGACTTAATTTTTTTATTTTGTTTGATTCATGTTAAAGAAATTCAGATAAAACCTGATTTTTCACATAGCTTTTTGTGAAAACATACAAAAAAATTTACACACAGTTTGGTTTTATTAAACTTTGACATGTCATTTAAATGATAGGGCCTTGCTTGTTAGTTTCCCCGTCACTGTTGACTGTATTCTTTTTGTAAATATTTGTGGACAAATTGTCTTCCGTTCCTTCCAGTCAGATAGATTGTAGAGAATTAAATCGTTTACACCAATTTGTTTGATGTAGTAATTTTTATCTTGAGATTTTACATAGTAGTTCCTCTTTGTCAGTATGGCTTCTGAAAAACTTACTCGCTGACTCAACTGTACACATAGTCAGCATCTTTTCTGTGACCGAGGAGATAAGATATCGTTTTACCTAAAAAATTCAGACGAAAATTAGAATAATTTTGCTTTACATGCCCAAATTGTGTTAGGTGTGTTTGTCACTACTGGTGCCAATTCATGTTTAAAAATCTACAAAAATATACAATGATAAATTTTGTATACCTGGTATGTTCTGTTATGTTGGCATTCATATCTTTTTGCACTATTTTTGTTTTGTGTACCAGTCTTAAGATTTTTTTTGTCATTTTGAATATGTAAGCAATTCATACTTTAAAATGCATTAACTTCCATCCCAACCACTGTGACCTACTGTTAGAATTTGAATTGCTCTTTAGAGTTACCCCAAGGTGTACAATAAAATTGTGATGTACTAGAATTCTAATTCAAAGGATTGTATATTAGTCATGATTGAAGTGAAAAAATTTCTACTTTCGAAGTATTTGAATGTTATCGAAAATGTAGCCATATGAAAATTGATTAAGTGAACTTTTTCATTGCTACAACTAAGTCACACTAATTATCCTTGGTATTTTAGTTGGTATATATGCAGTTTGTAGTTTTCTGGACTTCAAAGAAAGATTGAGCTGGTTAAATTTTTCTAATAATCTTAAGAA